GGTGAGTACCTCAAAGTACTGCCTCTTCCTAGTGGGGGGTTCCTGCTCGGACCTGTTTTTGCCCGTGCCCCTGTAGAAGGAACTATAGGGGGGTGAATGTTTGGGGAGTTTCCTGGAGATGGGTGTAAAATTCATGTTTGCAAGAAGTGCAATTCGTATTGATGGGGGCACTGAGGGATTTAAAAGCTCAAGTGATGAACAAAATGTAGTAAAAACTGTATTTTTATATTACTGATGGGCTTGGTGGGGATTGGCTTTATTGTGAACTTGGATTCGATTGGCTTTTGTGGGAAGATATTTTGTGGGCTGGCTTCTTGGATTATTGGGAATTGAGCTATTTGGGAATTAGACTCAATTGATACGATAAAAACGTTGATTTCTGATGAGTCCTGGAGGTTTGGATCATTGGTTTTTTTTGTTTTTTTTTTTCGAGTGATGTGAATTGCAAGGTTCTAGCAGACGTACAGTACAGTGCTAGGATAAAAGAAACTCGAGCCAATGCCCTTTTTACTGGAAAAATATGCCATCTTCACCTCCGATTTTTTTGGAGTAAGCTTTTAGGGAATCAGATGGATATAACTTATATTTGATCAGCTTGGAAGATTTTTGGGATATTAGATTTATATTCTTCGGCTGTGGGGGATACTAAGTCGGTGATGGAGCTAGGTAGCAAAGCACGGATAGGAATTGGATATGTGACTTTTTCTTTAATGTTAATGAGAGAATTATTCGCGTGCTGTTTTTTTCTCTTTTTTTCTTTTTGCTTCTTCGATGCTTCCCTTCTGTTTTGTTCCTTTCTCGAGTTAAAGTCATAGTTAGAACTCTTGTATATTGCCCTGATTTCTTTTCTGTTTTCTTGTTCGTCTCTGTTGATCTTTATCTAATGTTTTGCCGACCGCGTTATCATTGGTATAAGTTAAGGTGGAGGTTGTGCTAGCACACAAGCTACTGGAACAATTGAACTTGTATCATAGATTCAATATCTCATACCCCTCTCCCCAGTCACTTCCCTGAGTGAACGAAAGAAATATCAGCACGGTGCCCTGAAAGTATAAAGAGTTTTTAAACCTTGTGGCTTCTTTCACCAACACAAAGGCCTCGCTTGCTTTTATATGACAATTCAATGAGCCACCGCTCTAAAAATGACTTTCTGTTATATTATAGAAGAGGATTTGCGATGATCTGATTATGGCTTGGAAAACTCACACAAACTGGTCAATTCCCCGTGGATGCGCTATCTCTTTTTTTTTTATCTTTTCTTTCATTTTTCAGAATGGGATGAATAGCTGCAGAAGGAAGTTTGCTTCTCGTTCAACCTCGTCTTGGACTCCCGGCGCACACCAGGGTAATTGATTCTGAAAGAATCTCAAGCACCAATCTCAAGAAAGAAAAATAACTGATATTATTTGTTCAGGGATTGAGAGGACTTAGTGGTTAGGACCCTCAATCCTACGCTGCATAGCAAGCAAAGATTTAAGAAAAGCAAAGGAAAATAAAAGAGTGATAGAAAAAAAAATAGATAAGGTTATGAGTTTTACACCCTTCTACCTGCCATCAGATATCGCTGAGGCGTACTCTACTCATCGTCCTCAAACTTTCCCTTCTTGTTAGTACCCCCACATTCATGCCCCGTATCATCCTCACTTCCCCTCTTTCTCATGTTCCCAACCTCCTCCTGCTGCCCCTGCTCCTGCTGCTCCTCCTCCTCCTCCTCCTCCTCCTGCTGCTCCCGCTCCCGCTCCCGCTCCCGCTCCCGCTCCCGCTCCCGCTCCCGCTCCCGCTCCTGCTCCTGCTCCTGCTCCTGCTCCTGCTCCTGCTCCTGCTCCTGCTCCTGCTCCTGCTCCTGCTCCTCCTGCTCCTCCTGCTCCTCCTGCTCCTCCTGCTCCTCCTGCGTCTGCTCCTCAATATCACCCCGAACCCCCCTCCAAGTCCTCACCAAAAACCCACTCCTCTTCTCCAATCCGCGCAAATCCGCATCCATCCATATCCCCTTCCCCCTCCCTCCCTTCTTCAAAAACAAAAACTTACCCACTTCGCCCTCCAGGAGGGATTCCAATCCCCACTTGATGAGGGAAAGAGTGTTGTGCACTCTTGGGGTGAAAAGATTCGGGGTTTGGTTTAGTGATTTGATGTGTTTGAGGATTGAATGGAGGTTGGTTATATGTGATTGGGCTTTGGTGTAATAGGGAGTACAAGAGCGGGGTGGGGTTGGGGTGGTGGTGGGAGGGGAATGGAGGGGTGTGTTGGGGGACTGGGTAGGAGTGGTGGCGGAAGTCTCATGGTTGGTAGAAGACCGAAGGCTACGGCAGAAACTAGAGTTGATAGGCGTGAATTTAATTCTATTCGGGGTTCGCCATATAGGACTGACACGATGGTGGATGGGTTGTACAGCAGCTGAACCAAGGATGGGGGTCGGGTGCAGGGTGGTGGGGATTCTGGGTGCGGTTTGGGGTTTGGGTGTCTCCGGCTCTGGTGAATTAGGAGGGGGGGGATGAGGAGGTGAGCTAGACATTTGGATTATAGATCGATTGCAACGCAATTTTTTGTAATTTAGTGTAGTAGTCTCGATAAAACTTTTGCCCGTGTTTAGGTTCTTCTATAACATAGGTTCTTCTGGTATATTTATTAAAGCTAACAAGGGTGACATGAAATCGGTTTGAAACGCTTGAAAATGATCTGAGAGCGAGATTCCTCGTTGAACGCTCTCTCTGACCATTACAGATCTTGAACCAAAGACTGATTGTGTATCCCAAGTGTGGGGTTTGATAATCCATCTTAGGTCAATGGTGGAAGCTCATTCGGAGTACGCACCTGCGGAGGAAGACACAATTATTCACCTCATCTCCAGCACGGGACAGACAGGAAGTAAGATTTATATTTAGCAATGGGGGGTGAAGTCTACATTATCGGCGATTTCTCAATTTGTTGATTCTTTCACATAATTCTGTTGGTGACTGCTCTCACATATCTCACAGCCTAGTAGATTTCAAAAGAGGAACTCCTGATTTGTTCAGATCGGGGTAGTTGAACAAAAATACCCATTTTAGTGTAGAATAGCACTTGTATAGTTGTATTTTGCCCTCTTAAGTTACTCTGGCCTACTGATCCGAAAATAAAAGATTTCATAGCAAAAATCCTTTCAAGATCTTAAGCTTCGGACATCCTGTGTAAGCAATTCTCAGCTCTTGTAATTCCAGATCTATTCGCGGATTTCAAGAACCAGGAACGATGACACTAATGCTTTCCGGCATCGAAACATACATACTCACTCGCGCCTGGACCAACTTTCAAGCACTGTCAACTCAATTTCATGCTACCCATACCAGCTAGGCAATACAAAAGAACCTTAACACGCAAAGACTTCGTATCAAAACAACTACAATAACCTCCAACTAATCTCCAAAACTACACGATAAACTGCCTACAATATAGCCGAAATGTCAAGCTCACCTCTTCATCTTCCACCTCCTCATAATTCCCCAGAGCCGCTGACACCCGCTCTCCAAACTACACCCAAAACCCCCATGGCCCCGTACCGAGCTCGCGTCCTTCGCTCTGCCTCTGCGCATGCTGTACAAGCCCGCGGCAGTTGTGTCTTTTGCTATAGTCCCATCGGGCGAAGCCCAGATTCTTCCAAGACCGTTTCCAGCAACTCTAGTTTCTGCAGTCGCGTTAGGTCGCCCATCACCGCCGCAAGTACTCCGACTAATACTCTCACTACGGCTACTAGCCCCAGCACATCCCCGCACTTGTACACCCTTCCCCCACCCGCGCGCACGCTCCTCCCGATCAACGCCTCAAACCTGGAATCTCCGACACCACCCCGCCGTTGCACTCCTTCATACCTAAAAGCCCAGTCACACATTGCTAACCTCCGCTCCATCCTCACTCGTGTCCGCGACCTTAACCAAAGCCTAGACGACAAGTTCACGCCAGAAGTGCAAAAGAATTTGTGCGGGATCCAGTCGGGATTAACCTTTTTGCTCGAGAATGACTTGGAAAAGTATTTGTTTTTGAAGAAAGAAGGGAGGGGGAAGGGGATTTGGAAGCATGCCGATTTGGAGGGGTTGGAGAGGAGGAGTGGGTTTTGGGTGGGGGTTTGGAGGGGGGTTCGGGGCGGTATTGAGGGGGTGGAGGATGTTTGGAATGTTGGTAAGAGGAAGCGGGAGGAAGAAGGTGAAGCTGAGAGTGTTGGGAAGAAGGGGAAGTACGAAGATGAGGAAACTTAGAAGGCAGCTTTGAGTTGCTGTTGGTCAGCTCTGGAGTAGTATTTGTTATAGGTTGGCTGATTGACTAACTTATGGCTTTCTCATATTTCTTTTTTATATCGCTCTTTTTCTTCTTGTTTTTTTAATACTTTTCAGTAGTACATCGCGTGGGATCGAGTGGCTTAAGTTAATTAGTAAGTCATCTCGATCGCTAAACAAATAATAATAAATATTTCTTTTCTTCAGATTGTTTAGTTTCGAGTTTTGTCACTTTTGTGCGTGCAAGTTGGTATCCGGGCAGCGGCCGTTGCGATAAGTAGCTGAGGGTGACAAAAAAAGATATATACTGAGTGACGCGAGTATGATAGCGAAAGATTTCTCATTTATCACAATATTGCTTTAGGAATTATGTCTGACTTTCAAATCGGTAGAGCAAGTAGCGGTAGAGAAGGGTGATCGATAGTTCACGGATGATGATACGAGGGATTCTCATCATATCAGATTAGGGGTACCCCTAGTGCGAGTAGCTGGGTGTTTTTTGGGTTGATGGTTGATATTATGAATTGCCTTTTGTGAATTGTCCCACCCAGCGTGAAGGGAGTCCATATGGTGGAATTGGAAAGTCATTGGGTAATTTTTCCCTTCCTTGCTCCAAGGTATAGGCGCGGAGTTGCAAACCTGATAGCCCAGGTGGAAGGAAGGCCTTCAGATATCTACATGCAGACACTTGAGATTTGCTACAGTTAGCAGTGTGTCGAACAGATTTTTGTCATTTGATATTATACCGTATAGTGAACCCCCTGGGAATTTAACCTAGGGCCTTCTCAAGTTATAATCAACTCATTGCGAATGAGATATGATACCACCACACTATGCGCCCGTTCTGAGGTATGAACTCAATTGGTATATATACGCCACAAGGTGCAGTACATCGGCGTTAGGAGATGGCAGGCGTGTGTGCGGAGTTGGATAGGATAGCAAAAGATATAAGATACGTTCGGTGCTGTAATTGTAGTGATGGACACGATCAGATGATGCCCGAGTTTTGCTCGAGCACCCTCGAGCATAGGGGTCTCTCGAGCAGATCATGCTCGAGCAAGGGTATTGCTCGATGATGTTCGATCATGATCGATCACTCTATATGTATATAGGTCTTGGTGATCATGTGGAATCGCCTTGAGGCAAATACGGTTAGACTCCTCATGGTTACCAAAGCATGGCTGGGAATTGTGGACTATGAAAGGGAAGAACTTGCTGAAGAGTTGCTGGGAGAGGGAGGAGATTATGAGGGAGATGACGAAAGCTCTGCCGAGGAGGAGCAGGAGGAATCAGAGGTCTTGCAGTAGTTGTGTTTGGTAAAAGCGACTTTATTAGCTAAAGTGTTTGTAGTTGGAAATGGAATTGAAGCAACAAAACCGCTTAAATCTTCTATTACATTTTGACATTGGGAAGCAATTACATGGGAGCAAAATCGATCATAATCAACTAAGTTATACTCTATCATGCTCGAGCAGTGACTACGCTCGGGCACTCGATCAAGGTCTACCGGTTTGCTCGAGCATGCTCGTGTCCATCACTATGTAATTGTGGTAGCAAATATCAAGCTTCTGGCAGAAGTGCTGTAATTCTAGAACCCGTCGTTTCCTAACAGTGCTATCGGATATGGGCCCAAGAGCCTTGGAGCAGGGAAGGGAAGAGAGGCGTTTAACTTACTTTCCAATTGTAGCCACTTGGACCCCCTTCACACTGCATTGGACGATTCATAAAGCGTTATTCATAGCATAATCTCAGCAAGCATCAGCCAGGACACCGCCAGGTATTCACTGTAAGCACCAAGGATCAATTATCACAAGAAACCACTCGTATAATATACTTGCCCCTGACCGATCGGTCACGTCGCTCTAGCCCTACCGATACTTCTGACGACCTAGTTGAACCTAAACTCAATTCCTAGAGCGAGACTATGATAAATAGGAAATATTTTGCTATCATACTTGCTCACCCAGTATATGGGTGTTATTTCGTGGTTCTCTTGGCTATTCATGAAAAGGGCAGCTACACTGTTGTCTAATTTGCACTCAAAACTTCAAAGCAAATAATCCGGAGAAAAAAAAACTTTATTATTTCTTCAGCGGTCGAAAGGGCTTAGTAGTTGAGCTCCTCGATGTGATACTAAAAGGATTCAAAAACTAGAGGGAAAAGGGGATGTGTGATAGGCAGAAGAAATACAGAATAGTAATGTCGTGGATCAATCTACCAGTCAGCAGAAATGCTATCCCGCCACCCACCCGGCACAAACAGATCTCAAACATGTTCTCTACTCATGATCCTCGAACGTTCCCTCCTTGTAATTAGGCTTTAACGTAGGAGGTCACAGCTGCAGAGTGGAACTGGAATGGTTGGGTTGTGGGTATTGGTTGGTGGACGGGTGGAAGGGGGATAAAGAGGAGCAGGCGGTGGGGGAGAAGAAAGAGAAGGAGGAGGAGTAGGAGGAGGGGGAGGAGGAGGGGGAGTAGGAGGATTAGGAGGAGGAGGGGATGTAGGGGGGGTGGTGTCGGGAGGAGTAGGGGGGGTTGGTCCTGGCATTTTGGTAGTTTTGTAGGTAGTTTATGGTGTAATTTGTGGGGATCGGTGTAGCGTTTTCGGTGCGAATTATTTGTGTTTAGACTCTTCTGTATCGTAGGTTTATCTGGTGTATTTATTAGGTATGGTCGGTACGGACAGCATGAAATTAAGTTGAACGCCCTTGAAAGTTGGTGCTGAGTACTGTATCACCGCCCATAGTTCTTGAAATTTAGGAATCAATCTTGATTTAAAATAACTGATAGATGGCTGCACATGCAGGGGGTTTGAATTATGAAATCCTAAGAGGTTATTTGCTAACTTATGCTACTGTCTTTTGTTTTCAGATAAAAAAAAAAAGACAAAAGTAACCCACTAGGACACAGAACTTGATGTGATACTGAATCCATACATACGGCACTATTGATAATCAAAAACCTGCAGGGAGGGAGAAGGCTATATTTGGTGGGTGATGCAACAGAGCGAAATTCACGCACGCATGTGACATCTTCCCATAGTCCCCATTCTCTCAGTATTATGGCAGGAGCGTAAATAGTATACTGTGAAGTTATAGAGTTACAATCAGATCATTGCAAATGAGATGTGATAACACTACACTATGCGCCCGTTGTAAAGTGTAAATTCAATTGGTATATAATCTACAAAGCATACAGCATGGCAGGTATGTCTGCGGAGTTACTGATATCAAAAGATATGAGATCTATTCGGTATTGTAATTGTGGTAACAGATCTCTATTGTATGCCGGGCTATCGGGGTTGCAACTAAGTTATATGCCTTGGAAGGGGTAAGTTAGGGGGTAAGACTCAATTGCTTTCAAATTACCACCCCTTGGAGTCCCTTCACGCCGCATATCAACTATCTTATCAAGCATCCACTGTAGTACAGCCAGCCACTTTATAAGGACCAGCAATGTGTTATCACAAGAAATCACTCGTATTGTTGTCCCCGGCCAATCAATTACCTTAATTTACCGGTAGGTATGACAATCAACTTGAAATCAAGTATAATTCTTAGTGCAAGATTGTGATGAGTGAGAAATATATCTCTATTTGAGTCAGACAGTTTATGGGTGTTTGTGTATCACTCACTAAAAGCTACCAGCTAGTTGCTTAATTCGCCCTTAGGAATCTCCAGAGCATACAAGCCAAAGAGGGAAAAATCTCTATTGTTATAACTTCAGCGATCGAGAGGACTTACTCATTAAGCCCCTTGATCCCACGCGATGTAATACTAAAAGGATTCAGAAACTAGAAGGAAAAGGAGTGTGTGATAGGCAGAATAAATACGGAGTAGTAAATCGTGGGTCAATCTGCCAGTCGGCAGGAGTACTGTCCCGCCACCCACCAGGCACAAGTAGATCTTAAGCACGTTATTTACTCATGATTCTCAAGTCTTCCTTTGTACTAGTATCTCGTACCTATCTTTCTCCTCCATCTTCTACTCCTTCGTACTCTCGTCCTCGTCCTCTTCTTCTCTATCCACATCCTCCTCCTCCAACTCCCCAACACTCCCCCAAACCCCAATCCAAGCCCCCACCCAAAATACACACCTTCTCTCCAACCCCTCCAAATCAGCATCCACCCAAACCCCCCCTCCCAACCCCTCCTTTTTCAAAAATAAATACGTCTGCACATCGTTCTCAAGAAAAAAGTTCAATCCCCACTCAATCCCGTCCAGGCTCTTTTGCACCTCCTCAGTGAATTTCTCCGAGCTTTGCTTTAGCGCGCGAATGCGAGTGCGGATTGAGCGGAGGTTTGCGATGTGAAGTTTGGCTTTGACGTAGGAGAGGGTACAGCTACGGAGTGGGACTGAAGTGGGAGTATTGGGAATATTGGGAGCATTGGGAGTATGGGGAGGAGTATGAGAAGGGGTTGGAGGAGGTGAGCCTGGCATTTTGGCAATACTGTAGGTAGTTGATGGTGTAGTTGTTGGAGATTAGTTTAGCTGTTTCGATGAAAATTATTTGTGTGTTTTGGTACTTTTGGATTATAGGTTCAGTTGGTGTATTTATTGGACATGGTAGGTATGGGTAGCATGGAATTAATTTGAAAACACTTGAAAGTTGGTTCGAGCCGAGTAGTTGGGTATATTTTGATGGAGAATTGAGTGCTCACCCTTCATTCTTGAAAATTCTCCAATGGATCTTGGGTTATAATAATTGAGAGAAGGGGGTGTAGGGGGTGTTCCGGGTGGTAATAATGACCACCCGGATGTCACCAGCAATATCATAATGCACCATTTCTTCCTGCTGAACCCTGACCTGGTCGATCCCATGCATCCGGTAAAGCACCAGCTAAGTGAAGAGGAACAAGTCTCCAGCCTGGATGTGTCTGAGGTGCTGGAGAAGTGCAGTAATAAATCCACCCCTGGCCCTGACCAGGTACCATACTCAATCTGGAAGAACATACACCAGATCAACCTGAAAATCTTGCCAGCGTTGGTGGAGGACATGCTGAGGTGGAATCTTCACCCACTGATGCTGAAGGAGTTGATCAGAGTCATACTTCCAAAACCGAATAAAGCAGACTACACTGACTGCAGTAGCTTCAGAGTTATTGCCCTGATGCAGACCTTTTCAAAGATAGCTGAGAGGGTAGTAAACAACATACTGATGAAAATTGCCTTCAATATGGGCCTGTACGTGCTCAATCAGATGGGGTTACTTCCACAAAAATCGACAGTTGATGCAGTACTCACCCTGAAAAACTGGACAAGCAAGACACAATTTGCTGGTAAGAAGGTCAGTGTGATCTTCCTCGACGTGAAGGGTGGCTTTGACAATGTGAATCATCAGAAGCTCCTGGAAAGGCTGGGGCAGAGTGGCAATGTGCCAGGATACCTGCTGGACTGGATCAGGAACTTCATTAGCAACTGGGAAATCATGCTAGCATACTCAGGGAGCTTGAGGACCCTGATGACAGTCAACAAGGGAATAGTGCAAGGCTCACCTCTGTCACCCCTCCTGTTCATGATTTATGTGAGTTTGCTACACACAGACATGGACGACCAATTCACACACTCCTCATTATCTATTGATGACCTCCAGATAACGGTAGCCAGTAACTTGTGGTACAGGAATGCAAGACTGCTGGAAGAAAAGGTCCAGCAGATTGTGCAGAAGGTGAGTGCATTGGGACTCTCTTTCAGCATCAACAAAATCGAGCTTATACACTGGCGGATACCCAAGGAGTGAGCTATGAGGCCTATGGATAACATTGTTAGGCATATGGAAAAAAGGACCAAAGTTACCCGGCCTTTACATAGGATTATTTCTACCATACCCCGGCAGCCCCCAT